TTTTTTTATGTTTGTTACCTCAGAACTTTAGACTAAATGAACCAATTTTGATGATTCTTTTTTTAATTGTAAGCTGGTGCTTTGTGCATGTTAATTTCATTGGTATTAGATCTTGGGCTCCGGAGGGAACTCCTGAAAATCAATTATAAAATGAGTACAGAGCAAGATGTTTGAAGTCGGTTTTTCGTTCGTAAAAAAAATGGTTATTCTATGTAAGAAGACGGAAAGAGAGCCGTGATAATCCAGTGTCCGGACGCTCGCCTTTAATTCAATATACACGAGCAATCTGGGTTCGATCCCCGGCGCCGGCACCGATGAAATTGTTAATTTTAAGTGATGATTTATCACTCAGCGGTGAAGGAAACCTGCATATTTTCGAAATAATAACAAAACAAATTTAGAATATATGTGGAGTCCGCCGCGTGGGGCCGCGTGGTGGACTATGCTCTGATACAGAGGAGGCCTTTGCCCAGCAGTGGGACATGTGTAGGAGGCCTTTGCACAGCAGTGGGACATTTATAGGCTGTTACTTTACTTTTTTGTTTGGAAAGAGAACTGGCTTACCACTGTAAAACGTCCCCCTGTTAGTATCAGCTGACCTGCCTACTATCTCAATTTGCCCCTTCGTTAATGGCGGGCCATCGTTCATTACTCGCAAAGCCCGGACGCTTAGTAAGTCGAACAGTTTTCGAACATTGCTCGTGTTTGGAAGTAATTCGGGTAATATTAATTTAATCCACGCCTTTAACGGGCGTAGTTATGTGTAGTTATCTCTAGGGCCGCGCAACAGTCTTCGCTGTTTCACGAATGGGCAGGTCCGTCCGGGGAAGTACCACGACCTCACAGAAGACCGGCGTGAAGTGGAAGTGTTATGCTTCTGCGTTTCGTCTGATGAGTGAGGTAACCGGGGCCCACTTTAATAAAACGGGGTGTTATAAATGTCCATGGTTGGCGTATATCACTTAAAATCAGGTGAACCGCCAGCTCGATTGCCACCTTCTCACATAAAAAAAAAACATAACAAAACGACCATTGATAGGTTTTGCCATAGTGCTTTCTCTTACTTTTTAAGACAAAACATTATTCAGTGGAAGAAGATTGAACAAGTTCACTTTTCTAAGATCGATTTCCTCTCTTAGACTAAACAATCATAAAACCAACAATACTTTACTGTAACTATATTTGAGACTATGACTAAAATTTGATAAAGTTAAACGTGACAGTATATAAAAAGTTTTCATTATTCTTGAATATTACGCAGGCATAATTTTAAAGTATTTATTATCATGCAAGGTTTGTGGTGGTCTCAGTTAAAATTAAGTTTTGTGGTTAAAACTTATTCTGATTTAAGCTTATGAATTTGCCGTTCAACTTTTGTATGAGATGTTTCTAAATTAACAAATCAATCAATATATTACAAATAAAATGTAATAATAATACGAATTTTAAGTCACGGGTCTTAATTTATTACATTTGGAATATTTTCAGCCGGCGTAATCTGTACATCAAAAATCTCATATATAATTTATATTAGTCTTTCATAATAATGTCACTCGAAAAACTAATAAGCCAAGAACGTTTAGTATATGAATGATAAATACCATTTCGAATAATTGAATTGTTGCAAGGTTTTTGAATTGTGTTGATTCTGTTCTTGAAATTAACTAATGAATGACTAATAAAATACTATCATTTTTCTGTTATTGTTTCTTTGGCTTTAGTATTCACACATAAGTTTTGTTCACATTAGAACTTCCGGGTGTTCGCGTCTAACGAATTAGGCCTATCTTTTAGATGTGGTGAAGTTATGAAGGATATCATTTTGTCTCCTAAGCTGTTCTTAATTTTACATTTTAAAATTTAACATTTTAACATTATAAATCAATATAATGTCGAACATTTTAAAGTATACTTTTGTTTTGAAGCATTGTGTTATTTATAAATGATAAACGCTTCGTCTGGGTTGTTTATCATATCAAATACCTCACCGCATGCCCCACTTCGCCACAGAAAGAAAACCTAAATCAATGCTTATAAAAATCTTTGTTACCTAAAACATTGTTAACTTTACATTAAATGAAGGTACCATAATAATTTCTTTATCATTTTCCATCATGGCCCCACATCAGGAGACCTCTAGTTTTATTTTAGTACACTGTCATGTAAGTCGAATACGTTCGCATAAACGAGTGTTCAGCCACTCGGAAGGTCCCGACGAGCGGTAATTACCGACGGCGTGTGCCCGTACACCCACCGGTGCGTGCTTATTACAACTCAAATATTTAAATCGCCGAATCGGGAGCGCCTGCCGTTCGCGATAGAGTTTGCGAACGTGTTCACAACGCGTAAGCTCCGGCAACAGAGGGAGTTTTGGCGGCGAGTTTTTATAACTTTTTTTTTCTTCTTTTTAAACATAGCCCTTACTTTGGGATAACATTATCCTGTGTTGTAAGGACATTTTTACAAACAAAACTTCACGCGGACAAACACCCAGATGCGGAACAACTATCTGTGGGTCGCACAAATATTTGTCCCGTGTGGGAATCGAACCCACGACCCCCGACGCCGATACCTTGGCCACTGCGCCACGGAGTCATAACTATTATGTTAAATAATACAGATGACGCGTGTCCATACTAAACGTCTACGAGAGCCGGAACAAACTTGTGTCTGAAGTCGAGACTTTGCTAACAAAAGTCTCAGACTGGGGTCGACTAAATTTAGTCCAATTCAACCCCAAAAAGACACAAGTTAACCGCTAAAAAATCCCCATTTGTCGTGACTCCTAATTTCGAGAACACTCCCCTATCTGCCACAGCTAGTATCGGAATACTTGGCGTCGAAATCTCGAGCAACGTCCAGTTCCGCGGTCAATTGGAAGGTAAGGCCAAATTGGCCTCAAAGAAGCTCGGTGTGCTCAGCAAGGCGAGACAGTACTTCACGTCGGCTCAACGCCTAAACCTTTATAAGGCGCAAATTCGGTCCCACATGGAGTACTGCTCTCACCTCTGGGCGGGAGCCCCCTGTTACCAGCTTCTTCCATTTGACCGCATCCAACGTAGGGCAGCTAGGGTTATCGACGATCAAGGTCTTTCCGATCAGCTTGATCCTTTGGCTATGCGTAGAGATGTGTTGGGTCACTCTGCATCTTCTACCGCATCTATCACGGGGAGTGTTCCGAGGAATTGTTTGGATTGATCCCAGCGGCTGAATTTCACCATCGGACATCGCACCAAAACCAAAAATTTCATCCACACCACCTCGATGTCCAGCGTTCCACAACAGCGCGATTTTCAAGGCATTTCCTGCCTCGCACAACCACTCTGTGGAACCAGCTGCCGCCGGCGGTCTTTCCGAACCGTTACGACCTGGGAACCTTCAAGAAGAGAGCGTACTCATTCCTAAAAAGCCGGCAACGCATTTGTAAGCCCTCGGGTGTTGCAGATGTCCATGGGCGGCGGTGATCACTTACCATCAGGTGAGCCTCCTGCTCGTTTGCTGCTTTTTTCCCATAAAAAAAAAAAAAAAAAGAAAAAAAAAAAATACTGCGCGCCGTTTAAAATTGTTCCACTCTACATTATACGACACTATATAAACTTTCCTCTTGAATCACTGTATCTAGTAAAAAAAAAACTGCATCAAGATCCGTTGCATAGTTTTAAAGATCTAAGCCAACATAGGGACAGACAGACAGCGGGACGACTTTGTTTTATACTATGTCGTGATATATAAATGAGATGTGACAGATGATATAGAACGTATGATACGGAAAGAGATAGCAGTCTATAGAGTTGCAACCTAATTACACCAATTGGTGTTATTTGAGCGCCCCAGTTTAGGTGCGCTAGTGCCATATCTATCTCGTATTTGTATATAATTTCATTGAGTTTATGCGTAAATTATTTCTATCCTCCTTTCGTTTGTCGGTATAACACGTTTTGTTAGTTTGCCGTTCTTTTTGTAAATATTGCGTTTTTATACTGTTCGATAATATCATTATGTGTCGGAAGCAGAGGAATCTACGTCTGTAAAACGACAAACAAACATCACGTGGCCAAACACCCAGATCCGAAACAATCATTTGTGTTTTTTTTTTTTAAAAACATTGCCCTTACTTTAGGATAACTTTATCCTGTGTTGTAAGGACGTTTTGCATACATAAATTTCACGCGGACAAACACCCAGACGTAAAACAACTATATGTGGGTCGCACAAATAGTTGTCCCGTGTGTGAATCGAACCCACGACCCCCGGCGCCGAAGCCAATATCTTTGTAGCTGAGCCACGGAGTCATCCGCATATTCACGTTCAAGAAGTTATTTTGGATTTGTCCATAAAATTATGAGCTTTTCATTCGTAGGAATTATGCCTAGTTGAAAATATTTTTCCATTTGTTTTGTTTAAATTATTTTTTCCATATGTTATCAGTACTTGTAAATCCTTTTTATACATTAACTACATTTGTGAGTTTATGAAACGGGTTTTTGGAATTTGATCACGCCCCAACGTAGGGATAATATATACAATTGGTGTACGTATTTAGATACACCAAGTCTAAATTTGCTCGAGTTGAACTTGATGGCACAGTGGAAATTCATGACACAATATCATATGCCACATGGTGGAAATTCTATGAATCGCTGAAAACTTAGAAATAGTGTAATAAATAAATAAAACACTTTATTATTTCACTTCAATGAAGATAAATAAAAGTTGTAATTGTACTTTACTCAGTGTAAAATAAGCTAACCTAAACGCGCGTCTACGAAATGTGTTTTGAACATCATTGTATCAACAGAAAGACTGTTTACACTATTCTATAAAGTTGGAGTACTGGATTTGACGATGGAATCTCGTTTGAATATACAATTGTAAAGACACAAAAATACGCAATTGTAAAGACACGCTGTATAATACAACAATTAGACGATACACAATTGAAACGCAGGTCCAAATTCCGTTATTTATATCGAACGTAATCAAGCGCATGTGACGAATTAGTAAAGCATGGCGTACGGGCAATACGACATCAGCTCGTCGACGGTGCAAGGCTTGTCGCAGCACTCGGAGACCACCTGGCGCTTGCTCCTGCCCATGCTCCTCGCCAGGTGTCGTTCCAGCCACGGCCAGGGGATTCCCCCCGACCCCTGGCCGGCCCTTTTGACCGACGGCGCGTCGTCGCACAGCAGGGCAAGGGACGTGGCCAGCCTCCTCCCGCAGTAGACCTGACCGTACTCGTAGCAGCCGACGGCCGCCAGTAGAACGGCGAACATCACCAGAACAGAGCCCACCCTCGTCGCCATGTCAACCCACTTCCTTGATGTCTCCTCTATGCGTAATACTGGAGTAATGCGACGAAAGCAAACTTTCATCGGCTTTTATAGTCCCGTTCGAGTGATTAATATTCAATATTTGTTCCCGTGCAGTAGCCTGAACTAATCACATGTGACATGTAGACAGAATGTAGGATGTTTACGCTGCCGCCTTTTGTCCGCACGAATTAAGGGTAATGTGTTAACTGTTACGCATAGGTATTTAGAGCAAATCTTCGGTCTTGTTCTCATCTGTTTCGTGTATATACAACAAGCGACCCGCCCCGGCTTCGCATGGGTGCAATGTATTGTACATCCCTTCCTCTTGAATCTCTCTATCTAGTAAAAAAACGCATCAAGATCCGATTGCGTAGTTTTAAAGATCTAAGCGTACATAGGGACAGACAGACAGCGGGACGACTTTGTTTTATACTATGTAGTGATTATACATAATTACTAGCGTCCGACCGAAACTGGATTTTACGACAGAAACCGAAACCGAAACTTCTATAAAATCGTCATGTTTTGAGGGAAAACTAAATATCTTTATATCATATAGCTATGCTGTCTTCGACATTTTCACTTATTAGTATGATAATCCACTTAACAACAACCTCATTTAAGAAAAAAATATTAATTGCGCCTTAAAAAAGACTTAAAATAGGTTTATTTGAGTAGTTAAATTCTACTTTTGAATATTATTCATGGTTATTTTGAAATATTAAACATAAAATTACCTATTTAAGTTGTTACCTAATGTCACAATAGGAAAAAAAAAAAAAAAAAAGACTAAATATTTAAGTAATAAACAAAACAAAATAAATCACGTTTATCTTAAGAACAAATTAACTTCTAAACTTATTAGTCATTTTCTATGACTTTCAGCTAACAAAAACAAAAACGTAAAAGCCAACAATAATTTCAGAGCCACTTTTCTCAAAGAAGTTTCGCTTCCTTAAATTTGTAGTTGTGTGTGACAATTTGTGAACACTTGCACGTAAGGTCAGAGATTATTTTGCGCTCTATCATAAATATTATCAGAATTTTACTTGATGCTTTTTTGATGCAGGTGTCTTTTATTGTAAATTTATTAATTTGTTATTGTATAAAGTGTTTTTATTAATTAGTCAGCTGTCAGACGATTTAGACTCGAACGTCGCAGCGTCCTAGAATCGTTCATTCGTCCAAATTGACAGCGTCACATTGACGAACATGAATCAACGTTGACGAAAAAACCTTCTACGACCCATCGCTAGTCTTCGTCGCTTGCTTGCATGGATGGAACTCGCTGATTATGACCGATCATGGCGCGAGAACTCCCGAATGCAGTTTTGGTATCGGCCGTAGTTTCGGCACGTTTGGCGCCGAAACCGAAACTAGTTTTTTTTGCCGAAACTCGACCGAAACCGAACATATTTTCGTAGTGTCCACTTTATTAAAACGTGGCAACGTGTCTGCAAACCTACGGGCGTTGCAAATGTCCGTGATCGACGGTTATCACTTAACATCAGGTGAACCGCGAGCTCGCTTGACGCCTTTTCACATAAACAGACCCTCATTCACGCCAAAAGTGTAAAAACTTTCACTTTACGCCGGTTTCCTGTGAGACCGCGGTACTTCCCCGGACGGGCCTGTCCATTCCCGCGACAGCAGAAGCTGTTGGTGTGGCCCCACCACAGACGATGGCCAGCCATCACTAGCCACTTGGTGATAATAAAAGAGACTCTTGAAGGGAGTTTATTAACCGACTTAAAAAAAGAAGGCGGCCTCAATTCGGTTGGACTCCGTCGTTTATGAACTGATTTAAAAAGTTCTTTTTGGATTAAATAAAATGAAAATAAATGTTTTAGGACACATTTTTACACAACTTTCTCTAGTCCAAAACTTAGCAACGCTTGTACTATGGGTATTAAATAACTGATAAACTTACATAAATATATTTTTCTTTTGTAAATAAATACATTACTACACAATTTTTTTCCAGTAGTGGGTGTCTCATATTTTTTCATCAAAATTGAACCTCGTACTCCGGACATACATCAGGGTCTCTAAAAAAATCAAATAGAAAATTTATACTAGGCGAGATATTTGTTACTAAATAGTTATTAGTTACTTGTAATTCCGATAATTGGCCCCAACCGATTCTCACGGCGCGAACTAACGGATATGGCACGCGATTAAATGCCACCGTCTCTACTCGGGCGGTCGTCATATCGCTCCGATCTGCGGATTTCAGTTATACTCGAACATACTGTATTACGGCGAGCCTTTTCCGAGGAGTTGTGTCATTTCTTCGAGGCCGTACATTCTCTTGCATTAATGCTGTAGGGGATATGGACATCATTGGCTGAATCCTTGCCCAATTTATTAGGTGTTTTAACTCTATATTGTTATTGTAATTATTTTTGTTTTTGCTTTATGTAAATAAGGTTGTTGTTGTTGTATTGTAATTTGCGATCACATAAGTTACACTTTCCGACACATCGAAAACTTTTACAGCATCCTTGGATTGTAATGTTTGATTGTCTAATGTCTTTGTTAATCTAAACTAAGCATTTTAATTTTTCTCGGTCCGTATGCACGGACAATATATTTAATAATTTAAATTTGAGGTAATTGTTTAATTGTAGGTAATGAACTGTTCACTTCTAACTAGTGATGCTTTACATTTGCTATGAGATCTACTTCGGCTTATTTTTAAACTTTTAGTTTCCCTTTGCAGAAGAGGTGTTAATAAAATAAATCAATAAATGTAACAAAATATGTGTATACTGTAAAACATGTTATTTAAATTGTATCTTTATATATAAATAACAATTATTTTCGATTATAAAAACCGTTAGGCTGGTTAGATAAAGCGACATAGTTATAAATGAAAAAAAAAAAACACCTGCAATAATAATGAAAACAGCAAATCAGCGCTGCTACAGTGACGTTGCCTTCGGCCCGTCTTGTGAATATTTAACGGTTGCTCCGGGTTAGCAAGGCTGGCAAGGCCGCACCGGTCTCCATTTCAGAGGCCAACCCATAGGAAATACGTTTTACGGGAACAACTTGTGGCTTTTTCTGTGTAATCCAAACATAGTACATGGGATCAAAGTTTATGGGACTGCATTTCTGTGTTAATGGTTTTTATTATGTGAAAAGGTAGCAAACGAGCTGGTGGTTCACCCGATGTCAAGTGATAACCACCGCCCATTGACATTTGCAAGACTCGTAGGGTTGCAGATGAGTTGTTACCTTTTAATAAAGTGGGTCCCGGCTACCTCACTAACCAGACGAAACGCACACGTATAATACTTCCACTTCACGTGGGTCTTCTGTCAGGTCGTGGTACTTCCCCGGACGGACCTACCTTACCATAGTTGAATTTATAGATTTTTTTATTAGGTTTTGATTTCCTATTATGATTTCTTGCAGGTTTTGTTACGGGACAAACGTTATTTTACGTTCCGCATCTTAAGCATGTTATTCTATACTGGCTTCCTTCTAACAAACAGGATGCGGTCATCTACAGTTAAGCAAGTAAATATGTACCGGCCATCAAAACTAACCGTCGTAGGTTTCTTTACAAACGTATTGCATCACTAAATCACCTTGAAAAGTATACGTATCCTCGTAATATCTCGCGTTAAGTTCGCTTGCTCGTTATAAACAGGGCACCTGGTGGTAGGTTGTCACATTTATGATACTAGCATAATTGAATATTAATACTTAAAAGTCTTTAAGTTGCATTTTAAAATAACAAAGAAAACCGGCCAAGTGCGAGTCGGACTCGCGTACGAAGGGCTCCGTACCGTTATCGATAAAAACGGCAAAATAAATAATGTGTGTTGTATGGGAGCCCCATTTAAATATTTTTTATTCTGTTTTTTTAGTATTTGCTGTCATAGCAGCAACAGACTAACATCATCTGTGAAATTTTCAACTATCTATCAGGGTTCATGAGATACGGCCTGGTGACAGACGGACAGACAAAGACAGACAGCGGAGTTTTAGTATAGGAGGTCTTACCCAGTAGCTCTAAAAAAGAAATGTAGATTTCGACTTAGTTTTAAACACTACAATATTCTTTGTTCCTTTGTCACCTATTACAACAGCGTGGTTTTCAATTAAACTTCCGTCCGTGCCCAAACTAGCGAAATTTATCCCCATCGGCGGCTCTTAACATTGGTTGGTTTAATTTATAAAGTCGTCGTCCGCGTACTCGGTATCATTAATTCATTAAAGCGTAAGTTGCTTCTGTGAAAGCCTACAGAGTCGTAACAATGGGTGCGTGTTTGGAACTTAATAATTTATTAATTCGACGTTTGTCCAATTAGGGCGGTGTTCGGTCAAGCAATTGCGGGTAGTTATACAATACCACACTACATCGGTTTCGATAGATGGCGCCGCTCGCAATTGAAATCTTGCTATGGTTGAACGCAGAAATTTATATTAGGAGGCCTTTGTCCAGCTGTGGGACATTTATACTTTTTACAGTTACTGTACTCTATTTTTTTACGTATAGCATTCGCGTAAATACAAGAAATGTTTGTGGTTTTTTTTAAATATATTTTTACACGCGCTTTTATTTTATCCAGTTCTAAGTAGGGGTGTTAAAAGCGGGAAATTACTGCGCTCTAAAAATCCCCGCTTAACGAATAAAACGCCTGATCAATCTTGTCTGGTCGCGATAAAAACAGCAATAAAACTAGAGTCGTAAATGTATGTGGAAGCGAACTTAATTGGCGATAATTAGCCCGGCTCGATTCTCACCACGGGCGGGATCTGGTTCCCAAATATGGTGATGCGGCGGGCGTGCACGTGGACAGATATACGGAGTCCTAGTTTTTAGCGTAGAAGAATCAATAGCTCGAAATAGACCTGAGAATTCATTTATCATCCGTATAGCTAAGGAATGGAATAACCTGCCGGCGTCCGTCTTTTCGTCCGAATACAACGTGGGCGTCTTCAGGGCAAGAGTGAACACTTACCATCAGGTGGGATGGCGGTCAAGTGCTGGCCAGTTTTGAATTAAAAAAAAAAAGAATAAAGTACCTACCATAAATCTCTGTACT